TGACTGTGCTGTGTTGTTCTAAGAATTCAAAGGCTTGCGTGACTAACGCACAACGGCTTTCGCGCTAGCGCGCTTACCCAGCCTATTCAAGGGATTCTTTCTTTCTCTTTAGGCCCTTTTAAGTGTTGTCCAATCTACGATACCACCAGACGCACCTCGTCCATCCGCCAATCAAGGCTAATGGAGCGAAGGGACTCTCCAAAGAGATGCCCGAGCAGAACACAAGGTAAATGGAGTCAAGGCTTTTTTTCCTAACCAACCGACCGAGTTGGGCTGAGCGTCCATGTTGCAGAACCCTGCCTGACTGTGAGACCGACTGGTCGAACAGAGACGAAAGTCGGCCATAGTGATCCGGGAGTATGATACCCTATAGCTTTACAGTTACAAGTCATTTTCTCAACGGCTTTGTTGTGTTCTACCACCGGAATCTCAGGTATTGGAGCCTCACTCGAGGGCCAATCTTCGTCCGGCCCGAGGAAACCTTTGCACAACTCCGCGGGTTGGCTGGTTGGAAGGATTGCTTTCTGCCATCTGTCTTTCCTTTCTCTCTCTTCTCTTAGCAAAGAATCACCCCCAATTCGGTGATCCGCCGGATAGGACAGGGAAATACCGTACGCCCACTACGAGGAGACCCCTTCTTCCTAACTTTCTCTTTGTGGAAATTGCCCCGGGGTGGGTGAACCCTCATAGATATCAGGTTCCCACATATATAGAGTCAAAAAATATATTGTGTCCGAAGGGGAGGGGGGTTTTCTTCGGGGCTCGATAGAAGGTTGGGAAGTAGTACGCCCGGTTCACGAGGTTCTAGATAGCCGTACAAGATATATTAATAATATAGGTTCTTTCTCTTATCGGAGCAACTTCCGAACAAGTATTACTTCCAGGAACTCTCCGGACTCAGGAACGAACAAAGACGAGAAGGAGCGAAAAAACAAAAAAAAATTCATATCAATGAAAGGTAAATCAGCATTAATTGATAAAGGAAAATCTGTATTAAATGATGTTTCAGATTCCAACCAACTCAATATGATGGATCCATCCGGAGCGTCTGGATCGGAAATGCCTTCAGTTATTCTTCAAGGGATTCCGGTTATAGCAGTCATATCAATTCTACTAAGTTATTTAGTAATTCCTTTTGGTTCTCGCCTCCATCCTCCCCGCTGGCTGTATGGGCGGGTTGTCCCTCTTATTCTAGCGCTGACCCCTGATTTGATTCTCCGCATCTATCGGGCAAAGAAGCAGCGGAAAAACATCAAACAATTCATGCTTACTAACTTTCAAAATTAAATACCGTTACTGTATAGGTGGATCTCATTGTGAAAGACCGACACTAACTTACACTAAGAAGATAGTTGTTCCTTCGTCACTTTCGTGTACCCATCGGACGGCAGCCCACATCCCCTCGATCTCCTTACCAGCTGTCCGACTGGACGCAGTTGATGTTATGGATCAGCCTCACTCTTCAGGCATTGGAAACACATCACGTTATGGCAGGGTAATGTTTCACCAAGTTGAAGCGTTCAACGGCTCTTCGGCCTACCACCGCCTTTCTTGAAAAAGAAAGTTGAGCTTTTTCAATTGAAGCTAATGTTGTGCTGTCCTTCCCCCTCGCTTCATGCTTTCTCGTGAGACCTATCTATCCCTGAGGAGTGATAATAGTAGCGGTCTTCATGTTTCACGGCTGGAACAGCGGCATTCACCGTAGCCAGCTGTTACCATAGTAGCTGCATGAATCAACCCAGCGTTTACCGTGGGCACGATAACTGGTACACCAGAGGAATGCATTAATTCAGTCATTAAAATGATTCCTACGACTACATGCGATAGCTACCAGTCGGCTGCTCCATCAAGTCCGGGAGACCCGGAACAGCTGGATCCATCATAAAGTTCCGTGGTAGCTAGGCGAGAGCCCTTCCACACGGGACTCCCGGATCACTATGGACGACTTTCGTCTCTGTTCGACCAGTCGGTCTCACAGTCAGGCAGGCTTATACCATTACGCTCACGAGCAGAATAGACGCTTGAGCCCTCTCGCAAGCCCAGAAGACACTTACGTAAATCGGGTTGAAGCGGAAAGCATAGTAAGAAGGGCTGAAAGGCCATGTCATATTCCTCGGGAATTTGCCAACTAAACAACTGGAGGAGGCCCTTCGTAATCAAGTAGAGGTCGGTTCTTTGCCATCCTGTATTGTTAAATAGAGCGCCCACCCTGCATAGATTGGGTATCCAGGCGCCGAGAAGCTCGAATGTGAGCAAAGGCTTGCTCTGTTCTGGGAGCACCTGCCTCCCACCTTTACTCGGACATCTTTACCCTTAGCCATGAACCCCCAAAAAATTGGATTATTTTTTTACGTGTATCAGCCGTTTCGGCTATAGACCTAATTTTCCTGGGATTGTAGTTCAATTGGTCAGAGCACCGCCCTGTCAAGGCGGAAGCTGCGGGTTCGAGCCCCGTCAGTCCCAACCTAGGCGCTGCAAGCGATCAATTCATCTCTCCAGACATGGTAAGCCTATCTTTCTCCATATGGAAGTGCTGCGGGCGTCTGACAACCTTCCCAGTGAAAGTTTCTCGGTTCCAAGAGAAAGGAAGGGGCAAAGATAGACTTTCCACAGTAAGCGGAGATAGAATGGCACTGTAGGAACCGGTCGGATTCGAACCGACGAATAGAAGTTTTGCAGACTCATGCCTTAGCCACTTGGCTACGGTTCCCTTTGCTGCAGCCTATCTCTCATCTGGATTTCCTCAGTGACAGCCACCCCGACCTAATTCATGATGAGCCCACCAACTAAAGATCCAATTGAATGTCCATCTGCAATCAGTGCCATATCATGGAGTATAAGTGCCTTTTACCAGCTTCAGGAATTGACTCTGCTGCTGCCCAGAAAAGAGACTTGTCGTAGATAAGCTCTGCGATGATATGTGGTTTCCTGTACCAACTATTTCCCTGAAAAGGAGGTGATCCAGCCGCACCTTCCAGTACGGCTACCTTGTTACGACTTCACTCCAGTCATGAAGACAACCCACCGCTGGAACTTGCTTTGCTCTCGCTCCGCTCGTTGAAATTACTTACCTACTCCCTTTCTTATCTGGGTTAGGACTAACAAGAATGGTTGGGCCAACAAACATCCATCTCGTTCGAAACAGGTGATATTTTAGTAGGTAAATTAACGCCTCAGATGGCAAGCCGGGCTGCCCACCTAAACCCGAAGCAGTTATAGATGTCTGTCGATGACCTCAATACGGGAAGCCCCCCCACCTTAGGTGCTTGCCCTTAGTTGATTGGGGGAAGAGGGCATTTCCATCGATCACGAGCGTCGACGTGTCGAAGTGAAAGCCCCGAAAATCTTTTTCTATTATTATACCGGCAATTAGGTAATTTCGGGAAAGGAGCCTGTGCCGCACAAACCAAACAAGCTAAAGCTTGCCTGGTTGGTAGTTCCCGTTCCCTATTCGTCTTGGTCCCTGTGAAAGGTCCAGTCGATGGGAAAGAATCCATGTTAAAGTCTTATTACCGAGTGCGAGCTGCTCTTTCTTACTTCCGAGTTGGTGAGTCACTCGAAGCACTGGAGTGATCCAGTAGCGGGGAAGGGGCCAGTTTGACTCTAGGTTGGAGCTGCTACTAGTAGTAGAGAAAGAAACCTACGAGATGAATTGGACCTCAGCCCGAAGAGCGCTTCCCTGGCGAAGAGATTAAAAAGGACTCAGAAGAGGTGGGAATTCAAGGGTTAGCCGAGGAATTCTGTGAAGTTTCCCAATCTACAATCCTAGCCCCCCTAGCAGGTTCGACAGGACCTGATAAGAATGGATAGCTTTAGAAAGAAAACAGGGAAGGGGCCTTTATGACTATCAAAGTGGACCTCTCCTCTGAGCCCGCGAAAATTCCCCTTTTCTTTTTTATTTTCATTGAATTTATCATTACGATAGGTGTCAAGTGGAAGTGCAGTGTCTAATGTCCTCTCGAAAATCGGATACCTTTTCGTTTTCATTTCTCCCAGGCAAAGCCCAAAGGCTGCTATCCCAATAGGCCAGCGAGCGGAACGAGGAGAAGGCCCGAAAATCATACCACCGCGGCCGAGCATGACAGCAAGCGTAGGTTTAGCTTACGTATGAAAGGGGCTTGACGATCCGTAGTCCGACCCCGTTATCATGGTAGAGGAGGCCTAGGATTCAAAATGATGTTACTGCATGGATCGGGATTATAAATTCTTCGAGTTTCAAGATTATTTTGATAAAGTAGCTCATTTACCTATTCTAATCAATGACTCCTTAAAAGCGTGATCAAAGAAAGTTGTGTTGCATATAAAATAAGATAGATGTCGTATTATAGTAATATAGTTGTATGTTGAGCAAGTCTATCCTAATTACAATTCAGATTATATGTTTGTTATTCTTGCTTTGGTTCACTTTCACGATCTCTAGCTAAAACATGCATTTGAACCCAAAAAACATATGGAGAATATGGATTAGGAGGAACAAATTGTTAAAGGATCAACTCAACCAAAAGTTTGAACTAATGGTTTGAAACCCGTGATTATTGATTTATATACTCCTTCATGTGCCCCCTCATATCCAACGCGAAACATTCCACTTGAAATTAGGGAGTGGATGAGATTTTCAAGTGAAAGTTTTACTCAATAGCTTCCCATGTACAACAATTTGTCATAAGTAAGCTCGTTTTCAACATAGAATGGAAAGTTATTATGTCCGGCCTTGTTTCCCTAGGTGAACATTTGGAAGTTTGCCTAAACCTTTACCTATTCTCTATCCCAAACTCTTATCCATAATACCTATACCGTGTGATCAGTCATCATGGGGGTTATTTCATTAGTATTATAGGGGTTATTCAATCGGTCAGTGTTACAGCTTTATAGGGGTTACTGCGTCAATGTTATAGGAGTTACTTTATCAATGTTATAGGAGTTACTCGTTCAGTATTATAGGAGTTACTTTGTTCTTTTACAAACGATTGCATAGTGTGGCCAACCGCACACAAAACGTGTTAATCGATTATATATTTCAGTTTCCTGTTATACAACTAGTTTTGTTTTTGTTTCTTTAATCATTATTGCTTTTTCAATATCTCATCATATACGGATTACCTTATTATTGAACAAAACTATAATTCAACACAAATAAAATGCAAGTAATACAACTGTCTTTTTTACAAGAGGAAGAATAGTACCGTAATGATGTAATTCCATATACAAAAAACCCACTAGAAAAAATTGAATTTTATGATTATTAATGCGGCAATAATGAACATTCAAGAGATATTTCCTCTTTCTGGAGGAAAGCAATTAATCCAACAAACTAATTAAATCCTTTAGATGAAATGAAGAAAGAACAAGAAAAAAAAAAAAAACAAGGACAAAAAACAGGAACTTGATCGATCAATGTTAAGTTACAATGATGTATATACGTGCGATCAAGTACGGTTAGTTAAATTAAGATCTAGATAACTCAGTGAACAAATGGTATCCTGAAATGAGGGAAGCTGATGCAAGAGAGAAGAACGCTAGAAAAGCCATGGCGACGGCTGTCGATTCTTTTTCTACGATTGGATTTACGTATCCCATATTCCTTGCTAAATTTGTATTCATGGCACCAGTTGATGCTGATGATAGTAGCATGTATGTCATTACCTACAACGTAAAAAATACCTATTATTAGCAAGTATTTCTTCGATCGATTCCTTTTATTTGTGCGTGACAATGTTCTATTAGAAATTAGATATATTGAGTGGTGTAAAATTCTAAACATTACGATAAAAATAAGTAAATAAATACTACTCTAACTACCCTACTTACCTCTTATTTTATTTAAGTCAATTAAATTGCCTAAAACTATGTGTCGGTCAAACTGTAACACTTATCAAAACACAGATTGAGGGAGTATATATTTGAGGGATGATATTGGACACAACTCTAGAATTCTAGGGCTTTGGACCAAAACTTTGGGTTGTACTCTTTCTATTGATAGGTAATAATAAGTTAAATTAAAAAGGGTATTTTTAAGGCCAACCTGATCTCCAATAAAGTCAATCCAAACCACGACGTCTGATGAAATAATATCTTTTCCAATGCGAAGTTCATGACCTTTTATGCCAACTTGTATGGCCGTGTACACCATCGTAATCAGTGCTATTGAAAACACATAACTGCGCCATAAAACAAAAGAAAATGAATTCAAGTTGTAACTAATGCACCAAATGCACATCAAGGATGTGTTATTTCACCTGCATTTGTCAAATTGATAAATTCATTATATTGTACCTAAATTCAACAAAACCATCCATGATTTCACCTCACAATTACACATGATTGAACTTGATCAACTCTTATATTAGACGACCATGCCTTAAACTGTACTTATTTTGTAAGGCTGAGAGAATGTGCCCTCTATTGGCCATATGACCATATCTAACAACTACGAGTATATGTAATGCTTTTTTCTCTAATTAATCGAAAATATTATTGATCAAAGTTCAACATACAGGGTATGTTTTTAGAGGGAAATTACCTGTTAGGCTCACTTAATTGGAAGTTAGGGATAACAACCATAATGATGAAAGAGAGGAAAGAAAAGAGCAAAGCGAATGCCCTTAAAACCAAAACCAACACTCCCTTTTTCATCCAATCCTCCTTCCTCCATTTTTGAACATCGGATAATCCCCGGAAGTGTGACTCCGGCCTCCCCTTAGCACCGCCGTCCTCCATGTCGCTTCCTGGTGGTAGAGGAATCTCGGTCTGTTTCTCGGGTTGCTGCGTTACCTTGCTCATTTAGCTAGCTTGTAAAAAATTATATTAAGAAACAAAACAATAAAAAAAAAAACAATGGTTTAAAGAAAGATGGCTCTTAATTAATTAGCTAGTTGTATACTAATTTGATTATAAATTATGCTCAATTTATCTAACATGAAATTTGATGTACTGTAATCTTTAATTAGCTAGAGGATCAAAAGCTGTCACAAAGCTGTGCTTCAGAGTTGAGGGACCTATGTACGTGAGTAGTGGTGAAGCACTATATATATAACAATATGTTATTTAATTGATGAGGTTATGACATAGTTTAGACTAATTATTACTATTTTTTCGGAAAAAAATATATATAAAAAGATGTTTAGCCCTTGTTCATTTACATTTCTTAATTATTTTTTCATTGGACTATGATGGAAATATTCGGCAGATTTTCTTGACGTATAATATACGGATTGAAGTAAATAATAAGTATAGTGTTGCAAAAGAAGATATCCTTAATCAAGAATTACTAATAGTGACATTATAAATTAATTTAAGCCAAAGCTTAAGCAAATAATTAATCATGTCTACAACTAAATGATAGTGTGGTCAAGGGTAGCGTTGATACCAGCATAATAGTGACATGGTCACTTCCGCAAAAGTTTGTTTTTTCTCCTTATTTATTGATTAACTTGGTTAGAAAGTAAGAGTGTTACTATTAAACTCAAATCAATATTATTTACATACTAGGGCAACTAACACGCGTGTGATGAGCACACTAACCATATCTAGTCATGTTTGGGGAGCTTTTCCAATTGTTGAGGGGGAAAAAAAAGGGCAATTAACCTTAATGAAGGCAAAACCCAAAAAAATAAATAAAAAATAAATAAAATAAAAACAATTAACATTATTGAAGGCAAAATATGAAAATATTTAAACTTGTACATAATAATGAGGGTAAACATATAAACGCACATTTTAAAGGTTATAATTGGCATTACATTATTTATAAGAGTAATTTTGTACTTTTTATAAAGTAGGGATAGAGATTTACTCATTAATGGTACTCAAATCCTAAGCTATGAAATTTAGACCTAAATTAAAATTTGTCACTGTATAGAAAACCAAATGTAAAATTAGATTGAACTACAAAAATTACAACCTTTAGAGACAAAATTATTTAACTTTGATATCTTTACCCACTTTTCAATGGTTGATTCTATTATATACAAGTATTATATTAAGCCATTATTGGTACCCTTACCATTTCTTTTTTTTGACGAATATCCTTACCATTTCACTCACAAACATGATAACATAAAGAATACCATTAACGAAGCCATTTACAAAGTATGAAAATCAGCCAATGGCTTTTGGTGTAGTGGTGATATGGGTTGCACTATAAGGAGGATCGCGCGTTTGATAAAGGTATTAAATATAAATGATTTATTTTATAGTAAGAGATTAAATTACAATTTTATTTTTATTGTTTTTTCTAAATGGCATAATTGGAAAAGTAACTTAATTGAAAATTGTAGGTGATAAATGTGAACATTTGGGCCGTCAGGCGGGGTGGAGTTGGGCTTTTTGACAAGCCTAAATCAAGTTTCTCAAGTCAGGCTTGGGCCAATAGGCTAAATGGCACAAATATTCGACCTTGGGCCGACTTTCACGTAATCAACAATACTGGAGACGAGTTCAATTTCTTTTACCAAATTCGGAGTATACAATTTAGGCCCAAGCACCTGCATATCACATAAAAACTTAAAACCGGATTCGGATATTCAATTTTAATCGGGTATCTACAAAATTGGATATTGATTCAAATTTTAAAATCGGACAAAATATAAAAGTTTTTGTTTACCCCTAGCTCATTGCTCATACCATCATTGTAGTCATTTTATGATTCATAAGATGGTCTCTTAAATGTATGCATACATCTAGTTAAACATTTTGAATACGGTTATAAAACTATGTACATAAGTATATAAATAGGCTGTCCCAGTTAATATCCGTGATAAACAAATTTCGTTTATCACGGAGTAACACCGCTACCTCATTTTCATTGCAAAAATTACGCTTTTGTCCCAGTGATAAACAAATTTTGTTTATCACGGAGATAAACTTGTATTTCCTCAATAGTCCCTCCATCTTATAAAAGTGTTACAATAATGCCTTAGGTAATACATGGTTGTTCTGCTCCATTTATTATTTCATTGTAAAACACGTGTATATTAGCATATATGAAGTATATGGCTATATGCTAGCCTTTTTCTTCCTTCTTAGACTCTGTTCAATTCATCTTAACAAAATAATATTCAGTAAAAATAATTTCAATTCAGTAAAAATAATTTCAATTCAGCAAAAATGATTTCAGTTCAGTAATAATAATTTCAATTTAGTAAAATTTTGTCATTTTAAAGAAGAAATATAACAAAGAATCAGTAAAAATAATTTAAGTTCAGCAAAAATAATTTCAATTCAGTAAAAATAATTTCAATTCAGCAAAAATAAGGTTAAGTGAACAAAGCCTTATTATAAGTTACTTAAAGTAAGGTTGATGGGTAACTCATTTGGTAGCAAACATAGTTTTCCAAAATATAAATCATGGATCAAACCATATCAAGTAGCATGATTCATGATAATACTACCTTCCCAATAAGTAAATCATAAAGGATAATAAAGCAAGAGAATAGCAAATTCAACGTTTTCATAAAGGATAATATAACAAGAAAATAGCAAATTCAATGTTTTCAAACCCAATAAAATTTATGGGCCCATCCTACAATAGACATATAGTCCGAATAATTGAAAAACGGGCCCATGTCAAATTTATGTAGCCAATCAAATTTCTTACTTAAGTTTCAAGGAATATGTGATGCAATATTTAACAATTACTTAGTGGTCTACTTTTGCTAGTTTTAATGGGAGCCACATCGACAAATTTGCTTACTTAGTTTTGATCCACCCTTGACATAGGGATGTGAATGTGATGTTCCCTCCTTTTCACCTTTTACCTTCTTTTTCTCTCTTTGTCTACGGTTCTACGGGAAGCCTTTTTGTATTGCTTCTAAATGCTTCATACTACTAGTAGCTCTAATAATTATTCATTAATAAGAAGACTAATCTATATTACGATGTAATTTTATTATTCGATTGAGCCATAGCGGCAATATAAATTATAAATAGTGATGGGACATTGTACACATATTCTTAATCTTGTCACTAGGTGAAAATTTCACATTGTTAATCTATAACATTATTAGCAAAATATACATACTAGTACTAGATAGTAGATACCATATTTTATGATATTATGCATTTTGTTTTGATAAGCAAAAGGATTAAGAAGTCTCAAACAAGCAAATCAATTTATTAAATGTACTTGGATCCTGTAAAGTCTGTTTCTAGGAGATATTACATTAAAAAATCATTTTTATGAGTGATAAATATTACTCCATATTCAGTTTGTGTATAAATTGAAAGGAGTTGATGATTGCTACAATGATCAATTTACATATGACTATGGGAGCCATACTCGTGATCCAATTAGCTTCTTGAATAAATTGCCCATTGAAAAGCGTGACAAATATTCTAGGCTAAACAACGCCTAATTTATTACTTGATCGAAAAACTTCCACATGGGAGCTAAGTACAAAATCTTAGCTTGAAAAATTGATGATAGCCCCCACTATTAATACGAATGTCTTGTTTTCTTGAGATGTGGATTATTACTTAGCTTGGGATTGTCTGCAACCTTCACGTAATCTTCGAATCATGACAATCTTCAAAATTACTAATAGTAGCATCTCTTTATTCTTGATTTTTGGGTGAGCTTTGATAGGCGGTTACAGACTACGGAGTAATAATATACAGAGTGATAGAGTATAAAAACATATTCCTGGGCCTCAACCATAAGTTTAACCTTTTGGTAGAGATGGTCGTTTAATATGGTATCGGATCCTTTGTAACACAAAGGTCACGGGTTCGAATCTCATCCACCCCTCCTTTCAAAGTGGAATATTTCGCGCAAGGCATACGAAAGACCCATGTTGCATCCACATATAAGGCCCAAAAGGCACTCATGTGAGGGGCGTGTGATAGAGTATAAAAACATATTTTTGGGCCGCAACTATTAGCTTAAGCTTTTGGTTAAGTTGGTCCTTTAACACGATTAATTAAGCAGAACCTTAGCTTATTGGCTTCTACTACTTGGAAATTATAATATTCATTGTGTTTGAAGGTGTGAATTGAAAACGCTAATCAAAGGTTCATTACTTTGGTTGAGTATTGGTCCTTTAACACAAAGTAATTAAGTAGTACCTTAGCTTATTGGCCTACTACTCGGAAATTATAATATTTGTGTTAGAAGGTGTGAATTGCAAACACTAATCAAAGGTTCATTACTTGTGCATTGATACACTACTGCATCAATTGTTGAAAGTGTCATTCAACAGCAGTAGGAGTCATCATTTAGCGTCGACAATCTTCAAAACGTATGTGCTTTCAATCTTAACAATACTAAAATGCTTCATAGCCGAATCGTCGACTCTCCAGAAGGGCATTTTTATTGTGACTAAACAAGGCATGAAAAATATTCAAATTAAAGGTCGTGGTAGCCTCTTAGTAATTTACTTAGTCTTCATCAAAAAAGATTTACTTAGTCAAAGGTTTATAGATGGCCTGTGGCAGATTGATTACATCATTGCAGTCATTCGTATTTTTCTCAACAAATTTGAGAAGTGAGGTATTAGACACGTCTATCGTGAGACAAATCGAGCAGTTCATACATAGCTAATGTTATTGGCCATTTAGTTACTAATATATAAACATTGTACCTCGTGACAAATCTATTTATTAGGCCGGCCTTGAAGATTTTAGAAAAAGTTTCATTAAGCCCTTTGAAAATTTTCTACAAGTTAGGAATACATTGGAAAACAAATTGTTAATTGAAGGATCACAGCAATTTTGTTAAAATATTGAAAAAATTTAGTGGTAAATTGTTGTAGATTACAGCTCCTTTGTGAAAACATTGAGAATGCTCAGTGTTAAATGGTCGTAGACTGCCTCAAAAAAAAAAAAAAAAAAAAAAAAAAAAAAAAAAGATGGTCGTAGACATGAATCTTCCAACTTCAATTCTAAAATGTGCAACTTTTTAACTATTGCAATATTTTTGGGCATTTGGCCTCATTCGGGATTTGTTCTGCCGTCCTTGTATAATATTTGTACATTTTTTAATTTCCCTTCTTATCTCCAATTAATCCTTCATTTGTTAAGTAATCATGAGGATTGTCTGAAAGTCTAATTGTAATCTATATATCTATTCTAAATGTGCATTAATTTTTCTAACGTAAATAAATAGAGTACATGAGCCGTAACAAAATAGAATATGTGACTAATTCGACCTTTTCCGGCGGAAATTCCGTCGAAAGGCGTTATTCCGACGGATCTAATTCTGTCGGCCCTATTTTTGACTTTATTTAAAATTCCGTTGGATAGGATTCCACGGAAAAGTCAGTAAAAAAAAAATAAAAAAAAAAAACAGCCCCCACCCCACCTGCCAGACCACCCACACCAACACCCACCCACACCCACCCAGACCACCCCCACCCACACCCACCCCAGACCACCCCCACCCACACCCACCCCAGACCACCGACACCCACCCAGCCCACGCACACCCACCGTATCGATCTCCACCTCGCCACCCCCACCCACACTGTACCCACCCAGACCACCCCCACCTCCCACCCACCGTATCTCCACCTGGCCACCCCCAAAACCACCGTATCTCCACCTCGTCACCCCCACAACCCACAAAAACCACAAAATTGAAACCAAAAACAAAAAAAAAAACCGAAAAAAAAAAACAAAAAACCGAAACTTCAAAAATAAAAAATAAAAAAGAAATCGAAACAAAAACCACAAAATCGAAACAAACAATTTATATATTAGATAGTCCGAAAATCCGAAAAATTACAAACTTACATTACAAAATTTAAAAACTTATATTACAATTTCATCATAAAAATGAATTATAATCATAAATTTGTGAAAAATAAACCTAGATCTACAAACTAACCAATATTTAATCTATATTTCCGACCTTCTACGGTGCTTGACGGCGGACGACGCAACGACTGGTGGTGGTTGAAGCGGCGTTGGTTGTTGCGGATGTGGTTGTTGTTGTTGCGATTGTTGATGTTGATGTTAATAAGAGACGTAGATAGAAAGAAGGAGAAAGAGGAGAAGGAGAAAGGAAAGAGAAAGGAATGAAAAGAACGAGAAGAGAGGAGATGGAGAAGTAAAGAGAAACGTAAAAGAAGAAGGAGAAGAGAGGAGAGAGAAATGAGAATTAAAGGGGGGAACCGGGTTTTGTTTAGGGTTTTTTAGGGTAAGTTTTTTTTTATTTAATTATTTTCCGACGGAATATTCCGTCGGAAATCTCCGACGGATTTTATTTCCACCGGAAATTTAATGTTTCGACGGAATAATCCGTCGGAAATTTCCGACGGAATATTCCGTCGGAAAGCCCATAAATTCCGACGGATTTTTAGTTCGTAGGAAATCCGTCGTAAATTTTCGGCGGAATTTTATTTGGTCGAAATTTACTGGATTTCTGACGAAAAAAACATGTCCGTCGGAAATGGTCCGTCGGAATTCGGCTGTTTTCTTGTAGTGATTTTCTCTCTATTGATGGGATATAACTGAGAGTCTATTGTATGTACTACTAGGGACCATAACCCTAAATGTCTATTTATATAGACTTCCTTCCCTAATCTGCCCATCATGCATTAGAAAAGGTCCAACGGTCTCTACACATGAAACTAAACCCATACCCTATAAACACTAGTAGAAAAAACTAAATAGGCACCCCCCCTACGGCAGCGGTTCATGAAAATCGGTGCCAACTAAAATGAGCGCCAATTAAAATTTCAGAGTTGGCACCGGTTAACCGTTGCCAACTGTTTAATTTTTTTTTAAAAAAAAAAAAATAGGTTAGAGTTGGCATCGGTTAACCGTTTCCAACTGATTATTTTTTTTTTAAAAAAGAAGAAAAAATAAAAGGGTTAGAGTTGGCACCGGTTAACCGTTGCCAACTGATTATTTTAAAAAAAAAATTAAAAGGGTTAGAGTTGGCATCGGTTAATCGTTGCCAATTTTGGAAAAAAAAACCCGGGTTTTATACTGTTACATTGTTCTTCTTCTTCAATTCTTCAAAATCAAGCGTGTTTTAGGTTCCCCTCCTCTCTTCTCCTTAGCACGCTGCTTCATTCAACTCAGCTCCCCTCTTCGTCGTTCCTCCATTGAAGCTAAGTGCTGCGAGCTTTCTCACCTCCATTGGAGACCGTACTCGCGTCGTACTCCGGCAATAACTCCCTCCATTGTCTTCAACCTAAGGTAAGTAGCAATTAGGTTTTACTTATATCCCTCCATTGATGAATTCCTTCGACTTTTTGGTGGATTTGCTTTACAATGTAGTAATTATAAGTTCCTGTAATCTAAGGTTTGTCAATATAGACGCGCATTGCCCCCCCTCCACGTACAACAAGCTTCTTGCTTGCTCTCACGGTTGGTCTAAAGCGCCATTTCAGGTATAATTTTGAAACCCATTATTCATGACATACAATTATACAAAGTACTCTTTATATTAAGCATTATTGATATAATGGTATGGTAGATTTATAGTTGTGGTAGATTTATAGTTGTGAATTAAAATATGTTATAGTTAAGTCTAAATTTAATTTGTCTAATTTAATTGTTTGATTTAATGGACTTTGACCTTAATTATATATTGATGCATATATAATAATAAGAGTATTGTTATTGCCTTAGGGGGGGTGTTAGAATGAACCATTTAGGGGGGGCATGCATAGTTTCACATTTGCTTGCTAACTTTAGAGTATCTCCATTTTCTCGTTCTCTTTAATCATATGTCCCTATTTGTATTTATTATCCATTTCTCATACATACTTACTAACTTTTAATTTGTTTTTTGTTTTGTTTTTTCTTTTTGCGTTTTATAGGTTCATATGTGAATTGAAGTTTAAGCTAGTTAAGTTTGAAGACTACACATTAATTTAGCTCAAGTGGGAAGTTAGAAAGAATACATCCATTGTGTTGGTATGAATTATAAACTTCTCTAAGCTATAAATATTTCTTTCTCTCTATCACTGTTTTAATAAACGTTTTTTCATGCTAGATATTAGATTTGTGTATTATATAATGACAAACTAAATACAACAATAAATATATGAAATGTTTGCATTGCATCATCATGTGCCTAGATACCCGTTCAAGGCTTTCTCATTAGGAGAAAGTCTTGAATAGTCCCCGGTTGGGACTGTTCTTGAACGTTTACTCTCACTTAGGTGGTGAATGTATGTCTTTTTTTCGATTTTAAGGAACATCTTGGCTTACCATTTCCTCGATCACCATGTTCTCTGGGTACATATGTGGGTAAGTAATTACCTACGTCGTGTACTTGGAGAACTGGGGGGAAATGCTGCCGGATTTTCCTTAAAATTGGAAAGTTGACATACCACTACACGAAAAAAGGAAATTGGCAACGGTTCAAACCCCCCCCCCCCAAAGGCAACGGTTTTGAACCGTTGAGTATTTGAGGGTTGCCAAATCCCAAATAAATTGGCAACGGTTCAAAACCGTTGCCAACTCAACCAATTGGCAACGGTTAACAGTTGCCATTAACCATGCCTCCTTTTTTTTTGTTTTTAAAAGTAATTGGCAACGGTTAACCGTTGCCAATTGCTTGAGTTGGCAACGGTTAACCGTTGCCAAAGCCAATGGCGCGCTTTTTTTATTTTTATTTTTTAAACATTGGCAACGGTTAACCGTTGCCAATGACCTGTATTGGTTTTTTTTTTTTTTGGCTGCACTAATATTGACCTTTTTTTGTTTTTTTTTTTTTTTTTTGGCTGCATTAATATTGACCTTTTTTTTTGCTGCAATATTAATAATAATAATAATAATTATTATTATATTAATAATAATTATTATTATTAATATTATAATAGTAATAATAATAATAATAATACTTATTATTATTATATATGATAATAGTAACAATAATTAGTAACATTAATAACAAAACATAAATAATTAATAATAACAATCGCAAGAGATGATATAAATTAGAAAAATGTTTCATGTATAGTACATAATTAATAAGCTAAGCCTAGGATTGATGAAGAGATGATATAGTACAAAAATGTATGACGATATTTACAAATTAAATGTGACGTAGGTCGCCAACATCTCCCGAATTACATGGAGTTCCTCACTCGTGTATGGAAGTCCCGTTTGCCCCTTGCAAAACTTAGAATACACAAAACGTGAGTTAGTAGAAGTGAAATAATAATAATTGGGGTTAGTTATAGGTGACTAATGCTTGAGATTACTAGAAAAGAGCAAGTAAGAGGTTTTGGGACGCAATTTCAACCAAAATGGCTCAAGTAAGGCCATTTTGGCTACTAGGATGCCTATTTTCTATATTTCTTGTCTATTGAACTCATAACTAGTTAAAACATGTCATTATCACTTAGTTATAGGTGACTAATGCTTGAGATTACCAGAAAAGAGTAAGTAAGAGGTTATGGGACGCAATTTCAACCAAAATGGCTCAAGTAAGGCCATTTTGGCTACTAGGATGCCTATTTTCTACAATTCATGTCTATTGAACTCATAACTAGTTAAAATATGTCATTATCACTTAGTTATAGGTGACTAATGCTTGAGATTACAAGAAAAGAGCAAGTTAGAGGTTATGGGACGCAATTTCAACCAAAATGGCTCAAGTAAGGCCATTTTGGCTACTAGGATGCCTATTTTCTACAATTCATGTCTATTGAACTCATAACTAGTTAAAACATGTCATTATCACTTAGTTAAATGTGACTAATGCTTGAGATTACAAGAAAAGAGCAAGTAAGTGGTTTTGGGACGCAATTTCAACCAAAATGGCATACCTCTTCAAGCTGACGTGTGTCTGTACAGTGACTCATCACTATGTCATACATGAATCTCATAACGTATAGGCCACAGTCAACTCCGTTTTCCTGTTGTGCGCACTAGCATGAGGAACAAAGCACATGAATCAAAATGCATAGCAAATAAGCAACATCTTAAGCATTGTAAAGTAAGAAAATCACAACATCATGGGTGAATTACCTTGGGTGCTTTCCATGTAGGACCTCGAGAAGATCGAGGATTTATCTTCTTCATGGTACTACAAAAAATCAAAGTAATAAGTTCAAATTTGACTAGTATAATCAATACATATGAGTTAAGATATGAAAAATGAATAATCAGAAGTGAAACAAACTAGATGCTTACTTTTGCAGTATGGACCTCACGAGGTGCTTTCTTACTTGAGGTAACCGAGCAGAATCAAAGTAGAAGATTGTGTTACTGGAAACACAAATCACAAGTAGGGTCCAATGATAACTACACACGAAACAAACAAATCAATAGTTAGCCTATTACAACAAATAAACTGGGAAAACAAACGAACTTGACTAGCATAATCAGACGTACTCCTCATAGTATGGGACGAATATGAACTTGTCTCCCGTACTCACTGATTGCCTGATACCCCGTTCAGCATAGTACAACACGCAGCGGAGTTGCCTAAGATTCTAGCAGTGGACATCTGCTCAAGGCACAACCACCCAACTTGACAAGGAGATTCAAGCTCCCATATTTGCTCCTGGAGTGCTCTGCATGCATGATTAGGGGTGTACACCGGTCCAAAACCGGACCGGACCTGTTAGGACCAGGACCTGAATCAACCAATTTTGAGGACCGGGGACCGGACCTGATTCAGCAGGTCCGGGTCAGGTCCAGACCTGAGCAATCAGGTCCGGGTCAGGTCCAGACCTGAACAGACCTATTTTGTGTGTTTTTTAAAAAAAAGAAAATAAATAACTTGTTGGACCTGTTTATAGACCTGTTTATGGACCTGTTTACATAAAACCTAAAAATATCAATAACAAAAACTACATAAAATCTCTAAGTCTCAAATATAACAAATAATTCATTAAATTACATTTGATTAGTACACTGTCCAACAAATTTACAAAAATTCACAGAATACTACATTGCATATATTCTGAAAATATAAACAGATTTTAAACTGTTCCATAAGTTATACAACAAGTAGAGTAGCCAAAATAATGAAACAAATATTTTGTAACTGAACATTTCATAAGTTCTGAAATGATTCATTTCCCAATTAACTTCCTTTCTGGTCTTTAGACAAAGTTAGATAAATTTTCAAAGGAATGTGTTAACAAAAAATTAATAACTAATTTGGCTTTAGTTTGAGTTAATTAATTAATTAGAAGGGCACTTTAATATTAAAAAGTTAACAAAAAAAAATTGCAAATAAGAAACAACAGAGTACCAAAAATAGAACAAGCATCACAGCACAAGTGCACAACACTAGAACACAGTTCATACAATAAACATGAAATACAACAACTGAGTACATGAAAAGAGAGTACCACAAATATTACAAATACATTAGTCCTTAAACATGTGATCAAAGTCACTTAGGGGAATTACCACTAATGACACAGTCATACGAAAGACATAACACACCAACAACTAAAGAGAGAAATTAGATACAACAGCTATGAAACCTTCCTTTTCCCCTCGTCCAACCTGCGTATTTCCCTGATTTATCAATCTACTCCCAGCAAATTCACAATATAAACAGATTTTAAACTCACAAATCGAAAGAAACCAAAATTCAACATGAATTCGAAACAATTGAACTAAAAAAATTCAAAAACAGTTACTTTAAATAAATAAAAAACTCAAAAAAAAACATGAATTCGAAAAAAATGAACTAAAAAACAGAATTTCAACATGCAAACATCAAACAATCATTATTAGCAATTGAAACATGAATAAACATATGAATGCCTCACATTTAATTCAACATTTCAAATTAAAAAAATATCCAATTCAAATATAATTCGATTTAATTAAAAAAAAAAAAAGAACTTACAAATCCCACCGTGAAGGAGTTCGTGCAGGTGGACGAAGATGGTAGTCTGGCTGATGCAGCGTGTAGAGGTTTCCGTGCTGCTGGTCTGGTGGGTGGTGGCGACTGGTGTCTGGGCGGTGGCGACTGGTGTCTGTGCAGATCTGCTGCGTGAGGGAGTGAGTGTTGGTGTGGTGTCGGCTGAGAGAGAGAGTGCGTGAGTGAGGAGTGAGTTAGGGTTAGTGGGTTACAAAAATGAACAGACTTGTTTTGAAATTCGGATTTTTTTTTTTAATAAAAAAGGCATTTTTACCGGGTTTCAGGTCCAGACCTGAAAACCCCGGGTTTGGACCTGATCCGGACCGGGACCGGGAACCTTGATTTTCAAGGACCGGGACCGGACCTGAATCTACAGGTCCGGGTCAGGTCCGGTCCAAACAGGTCCGGGTCAGGTCCGGTCCAAACAGGTCCGGGTCAGGTCGGTTTTCAGGTCCGGTCCTTTTTATGTACACCCCTATGCATGATATCACAACGTTAATCGAAAACCAAACGACAAACACCACTAAACTGAATAATATAAATTGAGTATCAGTTGAATTACCTCATGGATATTTGAATGAGGGAAATGTTAAGCATCGCACCACTTAGAAATTTCTTCACATCTTCTTTGAATAGCCATGCCGTTGCATCATCATCGTAGTGGAACATTTCCTTAGGAAGTTGGATTTGGATGGGGCTGTCATTAGGCAACACGCAAACACGGTTGTGCAAATAAGCTAACTCCTGAGATAGCGATTGAAGCACCGTGTCTTCAACTAATGGAGTAGCTTGCGTAGCTGAACATCGTGAAGGGCTCTTCATCGACGCTTTTCCACTCACCGAGCCATGTTCACTCCTGTTCTTTGGCCCCTCCACCCTCTTCTTTGGAGTTTGGCTTTTCTTCGATGGCTAATAAGACAAATCATATAAATAGTTAGAAAAGATTTCCATCCAACTCTTGGGAAGAAAAGATTAAATCGTGAAATCTAAATCTTAATTACCTGGTTCATCAACCGTATCCAAGCAGTTGGCCATTGCACAAAACTATCTTTTGCTGCCAAGAGTGTAGTGAACTCATCCTCCTCCACGGGCATAGGTATTAAGATCTCCTCGAACCCGGGAACCACAAAATGAATCCCGACAGAATAATGCTCGGGCAGAAGAGGTCGAAGATGGACCGTGCCTTGTTCGGCCGGTTGTGCACTACTATAGGCAACAACTTTCAAAGGTCCATCATATGATTCCCCCGGGTGAAGAAGTTCACAACGGGTCTCTTCCTGCACCAATTAGGAAGATACTTCATTTAAATATTCATAACTAAGCATATTAGGTGTAATATAGGAGTTAAATCAAGACTTGAGCAAAAAACATGGAAAATGGGCAAGTTAGAACTCATTTAGGCCATTTCGAGCCGAAAACACTCTAAATGAACCTAAAACTTGTGAAATTGATTTTTTAGGTTGTTTCAAGCCACAAATATTCATAACTAAGCATATTAGGTGTAATATAGGAGTTAAATCAAGAATTGAGCAAAAAACATAGAAAATGGGCAAGTTAGAACTCATTTAGGCCATTTCGAGCCGTAAACACTCTAATTGAACCTAAAACTTGTGAAATTGCTTTTTTTAGGTTGTTTCAAGCCATAAATATTCATAACTTAGTATCTTAGGCGCAAAAAAAAAAAAAAAAACCAAAACAAGTGCAAAAAAAAACGGAAACCGGGCAGGAAGGGCAGCGTGTGCACAGCGAGGAGGCTGCACAGCAGCTGCAGTGCTGCACAGCAGCCTCCTCGCTGTGCTGCAGCCTCCTCGAGAAGAAAGAGAAGGAGGAGGAGGAGGAGGAGGAGGAGGAGGAGAAGGAGGAGGAGGAGAAGGAGGAGAAGGAGAAAGAGAAGGAGAAGGAGAAGAAAGAGAAGGAGAAGAAGGAGAAGGAGAAGAAGGAGAAGGAGAAGGAGAAGGAGAAGAAAGAGAAGGAGAAGGGAGAGAAGGAGAAGGGAGAGAAGGAGAAGGAGAAGAAATAGAAGGAGAAGGAGAAGAAAGAGAAGGAGGAGGAGAAGGAGAAGAAAGAGAAGGAGGAGAAGGAGGAGAAGGAGAAGAAGAGAAGAAGAAGGAGAAGAAAGAGAAGGAGAAGGAGAAGAAAGAGAAGGAGGAGGAGGAGGAGGAGGAGGAGGAGGAGGAGGAGGAGGAGGAGAAGGAGAAGAAAGAGAAGGAGGAGGAGGAGGAGGAGGAGGAGGAGGAGGAGGAGGAGGAGGAGAAGGAGAAGGAGAAGAAAGAGAAGGAGGAGGAGAAGGAGAAGCAGACAACAACACATCACATCAACAAATTAAAGCAACACAAACTACTCAACACAGCGAAGAAACACCATTTCACAGCCAACTTAACCATTTCACAACACAATCCAAAAACAAATATCATTATCCAAACAAGTAAGCACAAAATCACCTGTAGAATAGGAAAGTGATGAGGTGTCGGAGTATCAAGCCCCCTTGAGTTCGCATGTGAAGGAGTATCAATCTGCAATAGTGTATTGATAGTGAAACATTAATTAGAACCGTACCCACGTAACTCAGCATATCAAAACTTATAGAGTTGAATTCTAATCATTTACCTCCTGTTCTCCTTCTCTTCGTGGGTGGCTACTTGCGTCGGCCGGTGTTGTCGAGGAAAAGGGCAAGGTCGGCAAATTCATTTGCTTTGCCCATGCATTGAACTCTTTGTGCATCTCATTGCGCACTTGTTCTTTAATTGATGCCACTGTGGCATCGAAGTTCTGTGGCGAGTTCACACTTGCTCGAGATCTTCCAGATTTGGTATATTCGGGACCCATTACCTTCTCCCATCCTAGCAAGCTCCCCCCAGCACCTAATACCCGTCCCGGATGGTAGGGCTTTCCCATAGCCAAGGTGAAGGGGTCCTTCTCTACCGTCGGGACGAGCTTGCCTTCAACAAGCTCTCCAGTGTACTCAAGCTGTAGCAAAAACAAAATGGCAACATGAAGTCAATGTTTATATAAAGTGATATACATGCAAATGAATAAGTTAGTTCACTAGTTCATAGTTGCTTACCAGCTTATCTGTCATTTCTTTGGTTTCCGGAGCCTTGATGGACCATTTTCCGGTCTTCTTGTCCCGCGAATGCATAGAGCAAAAGAAATCCCCAGCACGACTCACCAAAGT